TTACTAGTTTTGTAACTCTAGTGAAGAAATCAGATATGTTTTCACTGTCTTCCATCTGAAGCAGTTCATAGGTCCTTTTGTGAGTTTGTAACCTCACTTCTTTCACCTTCTCAGTGCCTCCAAAAGACTTCTCAAGGATCTCCCAAGCTTCTTTTGCAGATTCTGAATCACTAATCTTTTCGAAATTGTCTGGGCTGACACATTGATGAATTATAAATAATGCTTTATAACTCAGCTTCTCATATTCTGTGTATTTCTTCTTTTCTTCTTCTGAAGCGTTTTCGCCAAGCGCTTCGACTCCATCTTTTACAAGGTCCCAAAGACCTTGACACCTTAATAGGACTTTCATCTGTTTGCACCAATTCTCATAGTTGTCAACTTTCAGAATTGGCAGCGTTGCTGGATAGTTTGCATTCCCATAACTTGTCATCATGAATTCTTCAATCGTTCTTGATTGACACTTCCCTTGAATCGAAACAAAAGCTCTTGATACCAGATGTTGGAAATCCACCAAAAGACTATGATGAATTTCGACCACAGTGATGATTAGTTATGAGAAAAACAAAGAAAAGAAGACAAGATAAATATTTCTGCAGAGTTTCTCTCTGCCCACAAACTGTGGAAAACTTTCTTAATCACTTGCAACTGCAAATTCTGTGATTACAATGAATTGTCTTGCTTGACTTGTTTTTTAAAAATAGGGGTTACTCCCTCTATTTATAACTGAGCTTACACCCTAAGCCCAATGCCTAAAATATCAAATCTAATCAAATCTATTCTAGACTTAAATCAAATCTATTTAAATCTAAAACAAATCAAATCTTCTTTGACACATATGAATTACAATTTAACACCTTACGAGATAAAATACACATTCAGCGCTTAGAAATCATTTGAATCGTGATAATTTTTTCATTTCCATTAACGAAAAAACCATCTAATTGTTTCATCTCTAACTTGTTCAACATTATTTCTTTACCATAAATATCATTCTTCAGTGAACATACAAAAACTCCATCATTATCATTCTTCACTAAAAGTACAAAGCAATGAAAAATGAAGGAAAATATTTATATCGTACATGTAATAGTAAAATACTATTGAGTTGTGTTTGTTTGGATTATTGTTGTTGCTGTTGTTGTTTTGTTATAGCAATAGTGACTGTTAGTGTTGTGGACTAAAAATGTGGATTAAAATTTTTAGAAGGACAATTCTTTAAAAGAAATGTTTTGAAGAACTAAAAGTGAAATATGAGATATTTAAGAGGACCAAAAAATATTTAACCCTAGAAAATAAAATGATATTTTCTTGTTTTAAATAACTTATACTAAAGACAAGAATATTTTCAAATTTTAAATAACTTATACTAAGGACAAAAGAGTATTTTCGTAATATTAATAGAAGAGAGGGAGAAATATTTTTTTTAATAAAAAATAAAAGGGTATTTTCGTAAATATTAATATAAGAGAGAGAAATATATTTTTAATAAAAAAATAAAATAGTACTTTTGTACATATTAATATGAGAGAGAATATATTTTTAATAGAAAATAAAAGGGTATTGTTGTATATATTAACATGAGATAGAATATATTTTTAATAGAAAATTAAAGGGTATTTTCATAAATATTAATATATGTGTGTGTGTGAGAGAGAAAGAGAAAAATATATTTTGGGTTAAATATAATTTTGGTTCTCCTAAATATCTCATACTTAACTTTTAGTCCCTCTAAAAGTTTCCTTCAAAGAATGATCCTCTTAAAAATTTTAATTTTAACTTTTAGTCCCTTCTACAAATTAGCGAGAGTTTTAACAATTTAACGACATAATTAGCGACAGTTTTTTATTTAGCGACGGTTTTGCAATGAGGGACCAAAAGTTTAAATTAAAATTTTTAGAAGGATCATTCTTTGAAAGAAAATTTCAGAGGGACTAAAAGTTAAGTATGAGACATTTAGGAGGATCAAAAATATATTTAACTCATATATTTTTAATAGAAAATAAAAGGATAGTTTTGTATTTTAAATAACTTGTACTATGGACAAAAAGTTGTCTCATGGTTTAGTGATGGACAAAATTTCAATTTTTGTCCAATCCCTAATCCTGATTTTTGTCTTATCCCATGAACATTTTTTAAATCAATTGCAGGACAACTAGAGTTGTGTTGTCCAATCCCTTATTTTTTGACATTTCAAACCCACCCTAAAGTTTATTTGTTGTTTTTGTTGGTGAGAATGTTAATTAATGTGTAGTGCCTATGTTGTTGTTGTTGATGATGTGTAATGCCTAAACTCTAAAGGTCTATTTGTTAAGATATGTTGTAATTATGTTGTCAATATTGTTGTTGATGATGTTTAATGATATGTTTATTGTTGTTGTGATTATTGTTAAGTAAAATGATGCTTAAATTTAGGGTTGTTGTTGTTATTGAGTTATTAATGGATTATGATATTGAGATATGAATGTTTTTTAGTTATGTTGTTGCATGAATGGTTGAGGATAATGTTGATGTTGTTGTTTAGATTGGTTTAATGTTGTTGTTGTGGTTGTTGTTGTTGTTGTTCTTGTTTCGAACATAGATGGATTGTTCATCTAGCGATGAAACACATACAAATTAGTGTTCTATTATAGAGGGAATGAAAGAAAAAAGAAGAAAAATCTAGAGGTGCTACAATGATGGCTAATTTAACAAAAGTTTGCAACTCAGGTGAAAGTTTATCGGTCGAGTTTAATGATAAAACTTGGACTTGTTATTATCTGAATTCTTCATTTTTTTTGGAGTTATGTTGTGTTCCTTGAACGTAACAAAGTGAATATTTTGAAAGATGATTGGACCCAAGTATCTGTAAATTTGAAAGTCAACATATGAATAGACGTTAAGATATTAATTTTAATTTACATGATTCGATAGTATTTTTTTTATAATTACTAATGCATACTTATTGGTGTAACTGTAGTCGACTTTTGAGTTTCTGATGATGATAAGTTAAAGAAGATGTGGAACTCTTACAGTGGTGAGTGTTGCAAGGGCTTTAAGTTACAACTCACATGTGATTATATCACGCGAAATATGATTTTATTGAGAAACATGTTTGAAAGAAGTTTTTCAAGTCTCATAGTTCTGTTGATTTCTTGGTTAGTAGTAATCTTATTTTATAAATATTAGTTTTATGCTTATGCTTTTTAGATACAATTGTTAGTGATAATATGGAGTAAAGAAAAGTTCTATAGGGGGTGAGTAGATTTTAATAAAAAATTCGATAAATTTTACAAAAATAGAATATTGGAGGTTTTTCAAAATGTGTGGAAGTCTTAAAGAGAAAATAGAGATCTTATGCTGGTATTGGAAGTCCACTACGTTTAGAAATACACAATTTATAAATCTCACAAATTCTTCAAAGATATTGATTAATTGAGTGGTTGTAGATTACACGAGATGTGTCATGTATAATGATTTTATTAATATAGGACTCTAACAATACTAGTTTTCCAAATTTCAATCACTAACTATAACAACACTAATTTTTAAATAAACCTAACCTTTCATAATAAATCACTACCAACAGAAATGAACGATAAACTATGCTAAGATTTGATACCTAAGATTGCATTTTCCTACAAAAACTAAAACGAAAGAGTGAATGAGAAAGAGATAGTACATCAGAATATATAGTGGTCCAGCTCTATCATCCTCGTAGGATCCTACTCTCCTCTTTAATGGTTTACCATTGAAATTTGTTTTCTTCCACTATGTTTTGACAAATATTATAAGAGTTCATACAATCACCAATCCACAACGATGCGGAGAAAAATAAATCTCATATCTGAATCTTGACTTGTATATAGCTTAATTCCAAACTCTTATGAGAAATCTTTACTCGATTCTAACTTCTTGAATCTTCCAACTTCACTAATCTTCTCACAGTTTTTATGTGTTACATTCACCCTTGATCCCACCAATTTCTTGAGTGATTAACTGTTTGAAGATTAAGAAAAACTCCACCTTGTCTGTAGCCTTTCACACACTCACTACCAAGGTCAACTGAATAAAAGAACCTCCTTCTTTTTATTGGAATTTGTCATCACCAATGACAAGAAGCACAATCTCACAAGCTTCCTGAAAATATTAATAAACTCTTCAAGAACAGTTAGTTTCAAGACATGTCTCCCTCAACAATTAAAAATCTCCATAATAAAGATCTGAATTTAAAGAAGAGGTTGAAGATGAAAGAAATTATATTTTATAGAGATTTTGAGTTTTCAAAATGAAGGTTAATGATTCACACAAAATTATTTTGAAAAATGTTATCAGTTATGTGAGTTGTATTTTGGAATGAGATGACAAAACAAATGTAGATGTGTTTGAGATTATGCATAAAAATGAAAGGATAAAGTTAGTTAGATTCGAGTCAAGAACATATCATGATTTGAGTCAAATGAGCAAGTAGAATGAAATAATATCTCATAAAGAAAAACTACCCATTTTCATGTTATTTGAGCCACTTTATAAGCTTAATTCGAGTCATGAAGGCTCATGATTTGAGTAAAGTATAAAGCTTGATTTGAGTCAAATTGTATAGAGACAAGTGGGAAAATGTGAAAAAATGTTATTCGAGTCATGTAGAAAGTGTGATTAGAATCAAATTGGGCAGTGTCTAATAGAAGGGAATCAAGTGCAACTTGTGATTCGAATCAAAATGTTGCTTAATTTGAATCAAGTGTAAAATGTGATTCGAATCACATACACCAAAAAGTTCATGTTCTCTTATATTTGATTTGATTCGGGTCAGAGATTGTGAGTGACTCGAGTCACACACATTAAATCTCAATTTTTCAAGTTTTTCAAAATAGTTTGAGATTTCACTTCTCATGTGACTTGAACCAATAACGCATATGGGTTTTGTTCCATTAACTAAATAATTTGACTTAAAGCATCTTGATTAAACTCAAATACAACCAATTGAATTATTCATGCTAAAAAATGAAGTAGACAATATCTTTATGTTCGATCTAAGCATCGATCCTCAAGAAGGCGATGATCTCTCTATGTTAGATCTAAGCACCAACCCTCGGGAAGGCGACGATCTCTTTATGATCTATCTAAGCACCAGCCCTCGAGAAGGCAATGATCTCTTTATGTTCGATCTAAGCACCAGCCCTCGAGAAGGCGACGATCTCTTTATGTTCGATCTAAGCACCAACCCTCAAGAAGGAGACGATATCTCTATGTTCGATCTAAGCACCGACCCTCGGAAAGGAGACGATCTCTCTATGTTCGATCTAAGCACAAACCCTCGGGTTAGAGAAAATATTTTACCCTATCCTGTCTAATTTGTTATCTTTCATATTCCTTTTCATGGACAAAATTTTGGGTCCTTTCGTATTTAATTATCTTCCACCATAGATTACATGAAGATTGTCGTCACTCATGCTCTTGGGCTAAAGGTAATTAAATAGGGGCAGTTGTCTTACTCTAAATTTAGACTGCATATTTTTTAATTTTAAGAGCATTTCAAAAGAAAAAACCAAAAGTGTAAGTCAACTTAGTTGGTAGCTGGGAAGGGATTGTCAGGCGTAGGGTCACAGGTTCAAACCTCAATGCCTTTAATTTTATTTATTATTTTATTAAAAGGTCAAAAGTTAACAAATGTCAAATGTTGACTTTTTAGAGTATTCTAATATTATTTTCCCATTTTTTAAGTAGATTTTTCATTTATTTTTAATTCATTTTTAATTCATTTTTAATCACAAAATAATCAATAAATCACAATATAAAAAAAATCAGAATCTTTCTCGATTTGTCATCCTTGTTTCTACTTGGTCGCAATTTTTCATACTTGTTTTTAATTGGTCGGAATATGTCATACTTGTTTAATTGATCGTAATGTGTCATACTTACTTTTGATTGGTTGCAATTTGTCATACTTGCTCTTGATTGGTCGTGATTTGTCAATGTAGATTTTTCCTTTTTTATTTTTTAGTATAAATAGGTACATTTTTTCACAAGAAAAGAACAAGATTTTTTCACAGTAGAAAAATTCTCGAAAATCCACTTTCTCATTAATCCCCACCACTAACCTTCATCCAGACCTCCAAACGAAACCTCCATAATTTCCTTCAAAATCTCAAAACAGAACCTCCATAATTTCCTTCATAATCTCCAAACAAAACCTCATTACCACTATCACCTTCACAAAATCTCTCCTGCATAAACCATATCATAAACACCCCTTCGATTTAGTCTATGTCACGCCGGATCCGTCTCGCACCACCACCACATTGAATTTCACAGGTTCCATGATTTTCTTGTCGTTCTTTTACAGTTTTCGAATTTGAATTGTGTTGAAATTTACGTGTCAATTTTTTTACACCCCTCCATACACTGATGTTGTTCCTAAACCTCCTAGTGGAAATTTCGCTGATGATGGAGATATACAGTTAGATGATGGTAATGTAAAAAATTACCAAGAACCTTATCATGAAGATAAACTTGAAGAGGTTCCACCTGAGCCATCGGTTGAACCTGGATTGAGAATATCTACTAGAGAGCGTCAAGTTTCTCAAAGATATCCTCCACACGAGTATGGATGATTGTTGATAATGAAGAGACATAATATTACCAAGAGGCCATTTCAAATGTCGATAGATAAAAGTGGTTGAATTCCATGAAATAAGAGATGAATTCCTTGCACGAGAATCACACATTTGAGTTGGTAAAATTGCCTAAGGGTATAAGAGCACTCAAGAATAAATGGGTATACAAGATGACATTTGAAGAGAATAAATATCAACCAAGATACAAAGCAATATTGGTTTTGAAGGCTTTTAATCAGAGAAAAGGTATTAACTTTGAAGAAATTTCTCACTTGTGGTGAAGATGACATATTTATTCGAGTTGTGATGATTACCAGCTAGCTTGAATCTAGAGGTTGAACAACTTAATTCGAATACTGCTTTCTTTCATGGTGATTTGGAGAAAGAGATCTACATGGATCAACTTGGAGGATTTGAATTAAAAGGTAAAGAAAAGCTTGTTTATAGATTGAAGAAAAGTTTGTATTGTCTCAAGCAAGCTCCGCGAAAATGGTACAAAAAGTTTGATCCTTTCATGGAAATAAATGGTTATGGTAAAACTATTGTTGATCATTGTGTGTTTGTGAAAAAATTCTCTGATGGTGATTATATTATTCTCTTATTATATGTTAATGACGTGTTGATTGTTGGTCATGATGCTAAAAAAATTCAAAGCTTGAAGAAAGAGTTAAGTAAGTCCTTTGCAATGAAGGACTTGGGTCTTGCACAACAAATCCTTAATATAAGAATTTCTAATAACATGAAGAAAGGTAAATTATAGTTTTTTAACACGATTAAATTGAGAAGGTGTTAGAGAGGTTTAACATAAGCAATTCAAAACCTGTGATTACTCCACTTTCTAGTCATTTTAAATTAAATTCTGAACAATGTTCTATAAGTGAAGAAGACAAAGAAGATATGAAGGATTTTCCTTATGCATAATTAGTTGATAGCTTGATGTATGTTATGGTATGCACAAGATCAGATATTTCTCATGTTGTTGGTGTTGTTAGTTGGTTTCTCTCTAATCCTGGTAAAGATCATTGGAAAGCAGTTAAGTGGATTCACATATATCTTAGAGGTACTTCCAGAGTGTGTTTATGCTTTAGGGGCGGTGATTATGACTTTAGATGGATACACAAATGCAAATATGGCTGGTGATATTTAAAATAATCGGAAGAAAATCATCGAGAGAAAATCAATGAAGTCGCCATTGAGTATTTATTTATCCTACATAAGGGAAAGGAAAATCATCAAAGAAAAACCTGAGAAGGGAGAAATTACAATCTTGAAACTGAGAGATCGGGTAAGGGAGTCGAATACGCAAGGAGAAGGTATTAGCACCCCTCATGTCCGTGGTACTCCACGAGACCCACTATTCTTGTTATAATCAGATGGTGTGTTCATATCTAAAGCTTACAAGCTTAATGCATGGATGCAAAGTGTATGTAGAAAGAAAAAGGTTTTATTAGTCATGTTTTCCTCAGTTGTGGACCTTTGCGCCTACGTACCACCGTCTGTGCAATGAGGATCAAGGAAATCGTAGTTAACCTCAAAAGTTTGGGTATGTTGTGTTTTTTTTATAGATAATGCCATATTTGCATCGTTGTGGTTAGGATTGCAATTCGTGCTTGGCATTGCAGCTCGTAAAGAGACTCATGCTCGGCCCCTCGCACACTTAGCATTTCCAAGTTAATCACACTTGAAACAACACATCCTTATCGAAAAGGTTTTAAAAGAAAAAGTCTGAAGACAAAAAGGTTTGAATTGGTTGGTATTTTTAATTTGTGAAAGAGTTTGCAATTTGAACCGTAATAAAGCCCGAAAGTGAAAATAGAGCAAGATTCAGTCTAAATCGACTCGCTCTACTCCATAAGACTCAACTGCATACGATTCACATCTTCCTTTATTAAGTGTTTTATAATTTTCTTAAGAGAGGAAGTTTTAGTTTTAATGATGCAAAAGGGGAGTGAAAAAGTCTAAGGGGGACTAACAATCCTAACGTTATCATGTAATGGTGGTCCTAAGGTTTGGATACAAAAGGGAAACATATACCTAAGTTAGCATGCATGGATTACAATCCTAATGTCTACCTAGAATCGATAACAAAACAAGTGATCCTATGGGAACATGCAAAGGTGAACCTAAAAGAACAAGAAAATGTGCAAGAAAGTAAACAAATAAAGATGATAACAAGCATCGACTCAAGACATGAGCTATTTGTTCATGAAAATAAGGTCGATGAGTCGAAGGACCCTTCTTCCATTAAAATAGCTGAATCACAAAATAGGGTAATAACTCAAAGCATCAATATTAATAAACATGAGCTAAGATATCGTTTAAGCGATGACAAAGTGTGGGGGATGATTGTGATCCATTTCCACATTTTTTTGACTCAAGGACAAGAGATGGACGATTCAAAGCATCAACGTGCGACGTGAGCTAAGAATAACACAAACTAGAAAGTGTGGGGATAGATTGCAAGCCATTTCTGATTTTATTGACTCGATTACAAGAACAAAGTAAAAGGGGAGGGGAATTTACTTCTTTGAGGACTTTAGCAAAATTGCCTCTTTTTGAGGACTTTAAACAAACACACAAAGTTGCCCCCTTCTGAGGTCTTTTATTAACAAGAATGTAAACAAACAAGTTTCGCAATGCCTACGGGGGTAGGTCTTCAGCTCATGCATCTCTATTCCAACTTCTCATGGCAAGGAATTTAAAAGACAATGCAGAATCAAAATAGCATCTGAAATATACCAAACTAACAATAATATATGTAGTAAAATGTATCTAAGCAAGAAACCCGAAGATCTTCGCGAGAGCTTCACCAATCAAAGAAAAGAGTCAAAAATCAATTGCTTGGAATAAGAGTAAAAGCATCATCGATGTTAAAATAAATCACAACCGATATCTGGATATCGAACAAATAATCCTGCATAAGGTATAAGTCTCGACAAAACAAAATTAGATCACAAGTGTCATGTATCGAGAAACCTTCGGAAGCTTGCACAAGTTCACAAGATAAGTTAGTAATAACAAGGAAACATATTCGAAGCTACACATTCACATTACAACTCAAATTGAAATTTAATCATGAAGAAACAACATGGGAACAAGCATTGGGACCATAAAACAAATTTCCGGGAATCAACTTTTCATCTCATGAACATCTCAAAAAGTCGAATTAAAATCAACCGAACTTGGTACCATTGTCAATTATCCATAAAATAAAACTCAAGTATGCATCAAGCAACAATTAAGTCACATTGTACATGCAAAAACAAATTCCAGACAGAAATGCATTAATCTCTTGAAGTTTCTGAAATGTTGAATTAAAATCATAAAAACTCATCAACAAGTGAAAGCTAAATATGCATGAACCGGTAATTAAATGCAACTTTTACATGTATTTACAAATTCCAGGCATCAACTTTAAATGTATTGATGTACACTAAAAATAGATATAAAAATAACGTTTAATGCGCAAAAATCAACACACATCGATACTTGTAATGTTACTCGAAATTCATAAATAAATTGTAAACATTAAATAAATATCGGTACATCGATTCAAGCTTCGAAACAAAAATTATCAACGCATTAATATCACATAATCAAGTCGAAAATAATAATCAACTCATGAAATTCATCAATTATCAATAATTATCGAATCAGAGTAAAGCTTCGACACATAAAATCAATGATCAACAACAAGTATCGCGTCGACACATGAGATTCAAACAATTAAGCAATTTATCATCCGATTCCATAATTGTCCATAATTATAAATTTCAAGAATAAATTAATCTCACCATTCAATTAAATTCAACTCATGCAAGGTCAAATAAGCACTTAATTCACAAAATCAATTAATTAATTGAACACTTAAATCAAGCAAACGTCAAGAGTTCAAGAATTACCGAATCAATGCGAAGAAGTTGCCTCAGAGAATAGAGAAGTGACCGGAAGAGAGAGAGAGAGAGAGAGAGAGATAGTTCCGAGGGATGCCGGCGGTGGAGGAGACCGGTTCAAAGGAGGTTCTGGTCGGGCTTTGCGGTTGTTTACCATGTTGATTGGTAAACAACTGCTGATCTTCCAAAAAGGGTAATATTTTGGTTACTCACAGGATCGATCAGTTTGATCCTAGGACATATACTAATTATTGGTGTTGTTTGGATATAAATTCTAATATTAATAAAGAACGCATGTTCGACTGAGAAAGGTTGAGGTTTGAGATGAGTTTGAGTGTAGAAAGCAAGTAGAAAAGGGGTTGAGAAGAGTTTAAGTGCAGAAATATGGTAAAAAGTGCAAGTAAAATGCAAGGGAAAATAAGTTTTTGCAAGTAAAATAAAAGGCAAGGAATTTAAAAGACTTTGATTATAAAATGTGGTGTTTCAAATGTACATTCTCGGTATTCTTTCTCACGCAGCGGGTACTCGAATAGAATTGAATGACTTGTATAATTAGTTGAACACACAGAAATCTACATAAACTTCCTATATTTATACTAGAACTAGGTAACCGTCGAGGAGTTGCCTTACTCTAAGATGAGGACAAGTGTCCTCTGCATGTGCTTCGACCTCTATCTTCATGCCACGTTGCTTTCCTCAACTGCCAGGCAAACTAATTTTCCCTCCTTTCTTCAGATTCAAAATCACTTGTTGCTGATACGAGGTTTCCTTTTAGTCGAAGGCCACGGAAGCCTTTCAGTCGAAGGCCGCAAGAACCTTTTGGTTGAAGAGCAACTTTAACTTAGAAATCTCTCTAAGTGTTTTCCCCATCTGTCGAAGTATTTCCAACTTAGATTTGTTCAATCTATTTTTGGCCCATAAGGCCAATATGTTGTGGGTGTCGAATTTAGGAGCTAACAAATTGCCCCCCCCCCCCCCCAAGAATGTCAATTTCGACGCAAGAAGAAATGGTCATTCTTTGTTATTACCATTCGACACCTGTCTTCTTTTTAGCCACAAAAGTTAATCGTGTGCTTTTCGCCTTCTACCAACCACTGCTGGTAT